AACTGAATCGGCCAGCACCTTGATCCCAGACTTCCCAGCCTCTAAAACTGTGAGAAATAAATTTCTGTTGTTTAAGCCACAAGTCTATAGTATTGCTTTGTATGCAAGCCTGAGCTGACTAATACAGTCACAGAGAATAAAAGTCATCAAAGGAATTTTTCTTGGATATACTGATAGAAGTGAAAGATTTCCAATTTGAAATTGATAATATAAAATTAATTTTTTTCTTTACAAAAAAGCTCAAAAGTTCTGAGAAGTACTAAAAAGGACATGGCAGTCCTACCAGAAGAGACCTAATTATGTCATCAGAAATAACCTCTGGGAAAAATATGAGTAAAAATTAATGTTCATGTTGCCTATTATGTTTTCCACAGAACCACCTTTCCCAAAACTGTTCACCCCAACTTGATAGACACTCCAACTGCATGAAGTCATTTCCATCAAGAAACAGTTTATATTTTCTTTTCTTCTTCCCTTCTCTTCTTTCACATTGAATACGGTTTTTATTTCCCATTTTCATGTCTCAATGTAGCTCAATACACTTTCGCTGAAAAAAGCTGGAATCAGCTCATAACTGATTCATTCAGGGATGTTAGTCTCATCACTTTCTAATATATAATATTCAAATCTACAAGAATAATGTTCTTCAAGCACCACTCCAACAATCCTGTAGCACCTGTATTCATTATGATGAAAGTGCGTATACTGGTACCCAATTGCCTCCAAATCAAACTAAATCTCGTAATAGCTTTCAGAGTGCCAAGGCTCTCCACCATACCTACTTCTAGCTCCAGTTTACATTTCACCCCAGCCAGACAAACCTGTTCCTTGTCCCTGGTCATGAGAATCATACTCTTCTCTGTTTCCGCTCCGAATAGCTTTTAATTTAGTCTCCAAACTGTCTTCTCTTCTGACCAACTCTGGGTTTTAACCACCTCAAACTTATCTTGAAGGTGCATTTTCCACAATAAACCAGTCCTAAGTTATTCTTACTGATTCCTTTCAATAAAGTCTAGTCATTCCAACACCTTTGCATTTGTATTCAGTTATGTTTACATTAATGTACTATGTTTACACTGATTCATTTTTGTCTATATTGATTCACTGTATAATGCACATATACCTTTAAAAAAATTTTAACAATTACCAAACCCTGACTATATACAAAATACTAGATTACAGAACAGCCTCTGACCTTGAGATTTCAGCCCGATAAGAGACATTATACCACATAAGCATATCAATAATACCATGAGAGGTACAAACAAGGGCCAGGAGAAAAAAACTCAAAGGAAATGGTAATAATTTGAGGATTAGAGAAAAGAAGAAATACATTAAGTTGAACCATTTGAAATTGCTGTTTTGTAGGTAAAATGGTCAAATATCAACTATTCCACATGGCTCGATGTGTTCAAATGAAGGAGAAAGAAATTCAGCTGGGCCTTTAAGGAAGGACTGCAAGGCACAGATCAAGGCTTTGCAAACCACAAACACCCCCCCCCACCCCCCCCCCCCAACACACACACACACACACAGAAATTTTTAAAAAGAGTTTTGGAAAGTATAGGGCGTATTTTGTGAATAATAAGTCACTGACTCAAACAAAATACATAAAAGGCCTGGTACCAGAACAGTGAGAATCCTAAATGCCAGGGTTAATTAAAAACCTTGCTAGGAAAAGGCAAGGGGTTCACAATGAGAAACCACTCCACACCCTCTAGGGTGGCTAAAATCAAAAAGACAATAACGAGCGTTAGCAAAACTGTGGAGAAATTGGAACCCTCATACATTGCTGATGGGAATGTTAGATGGTATAACCACTTTGGAAATCAGTCTTGCAGTTCCTTAAAAGGTAAAATGGAGTTACCAAATGACACAGCAATTCCACTCCTAAACATATATCCAGGACAAATGAAAACATGCCTACTTAAAAAACTATACAAATGTACACGGATGTTCACAGCAGCATTATTCATAATAGCCAAAAAGTTAAAATGCACCATGACATCCCCCTGCTTGAAATCCTTCCATGGCTCCCCACTGCTCTTACTTACCTTAGCCTCAAGTAGCTACATGACCTGCCCCTGCCTCCTTCTCCAGCCTCCTCTTGTACATCTCTCTCTCTCTCCTTGCTCTTCTGTCCAACCACAGTGGCCTTCTTTGAGATCCTTAAATAAGCTGGCACCTGTGCAGGGAGCCTAGTTCTGCAAAACTCCCTGACTAGTTCCTCTAAGACTACAAACTTGAAGAAGGAAGAACTGTCAATTTTGCTCACCATTCTATTCCTAAGACCTAGCATGGTACCTGGTATAGAACAGGCACTCAAGAAATACTGCTCAAACTAATTAATGAGTGAAAAAATGAGAATGATCAAAAGATTGAATTATTCTAATCAAATTCATCAGAGGCCATGACTAGAACATAAGACAAGATGAAAAAGAAATGTGGCAAAGCGGGGCTGGAGGGGGCAGAACAAGGCAGGGGAAGATAAACAAAGTTTCATTTTCCTTCTGGAGTTCCTGTGCATATGTTACTTTATATACCATATATAGTATTCCATTTCCATTGAAAAATTTCTTAGGACATTGGAGCAAATATTTTGTTAAGGAGGCTATGTCTTAAGTGAATGACAAATAATCCTTAAACAACTGGTGGGAATTGGTTTTTGACTGTTATTTCTACTGGAATGATTAAAGAAAAAGTTGGGAATTAAGAAACAAGGATACTTAACAGCAGTATCCATGGCCAAGTGACTTAATCCCCACTCCCCATTACAGTTTCATTATCTGTGAAAAGCACCGATTAGACTATTTCAATGGTTAGCTTTTTGATGGTCAGATACCTCTTTGAAAAATCTCATGAAAGCTATTCCCTGAATTGTTTACAATGTCAGGGACTTTAAGGTTAAGAACCGTGACCTAGATAATTCCTTTTAGTTCTAACATAGTCCAGAGCTTCAGAAATGAGTATTCTGCCTTTTGAAATATTCACACAATATCTAGATAAATACTGAAAAATTAAACTGATTCTCCAAAAGGTGTATGTCTATGTAAGTATATATATACATATGTTTTTTCTAATTAGGTAATCACAGTCTTGAATATAAAGTTAAGACTCATAAACTAAATAGAAATATTCCAATATTGTATTTCATACAACAGAGTCAAAAGGAAACTAAATCCAATAGCTATACTTATTTCAGGAACTCTGGGCTATCACTGTGTAAATTCAATGCCCCTGATTATAGATAAATAGAAACGATACCCTATCAAGAAATATAAGCCACAATTTCTTTAAATATTTTCATTGTTTTTATATTAAGTGATTTTATCAGAAGCTATATCTATCTTTTAAAATATGCTTGAAAAATATTCTAATTTAGCTAAGTAATGATTCTTTTTTCCTTTTTTTTTTTTTTAACTAACTACAGATGGGCCACAGAAGTCTCCCCCATAATGTCATTTCAAGTGCAATGGAAAGACCTTCACTATCTGCCTCCCTGGCCCTACCATACATTATCAACAGCTTCCACCATTAGGGTTTCTGAGCTAAATGATTCTATTTCAAATGTCATACATTTCAAAACATACCTGTAATAATTAGGGGGAGATACCTCCTTAAAAATATACATATGGTTGGCTCAGTAACTCTTCTAAATAGATAATTTCATCAGAATGAACTGGAACACAAGAATATAAACTCAGTGACAGGAACATCACCCTTGCCAATGCCCAACATGGTTATGTTACAAGGCTTCTTATTCTGTGATTCGCACACTTAATCTAACCGTGTGGTCTCAGTACACTGGAACTCGTTATTAGCTTCAGTGGCCTGACTCACTGGACTGCTTCTCCTCTGCCAAGGTGAAAAACGAAAACGCATGACTTGGAGTAATCTTGGCACTTGCGTTTCTGACAGCACACTCATTTTTCTTTCAAACACCGCATGTGGTTTTCCTTCACAAGTCTCTTTCCAAATCTGCAGGCCATATTCCATTTCTTAAGAGTTTAGCTACCTTCTACATTACAGCAAATTGTCTATCCTCAATGGTTCCACTTTCTTAGTACCCACTCGTTCCCTAATTCCTTCCCATCTGGCTTCTGCCTCTATCAAGTCCCTAAAGTGGCTCCTTCCTATAGTTACTAATGACCTGATTATTTTTTTAAAAAAGGTCTTTTCTCAGTTCTGATACTATAAATTCAGCTCTCTTCACTAGCATATTCTTTTGGTTATCCCATATCTCAGTTTAATTTCATCAATACTCTTGAGATTCTACTATATGCAAGACACTACTGTTCTAGGAACTACTAGAGATACAGAGATAAATAACAGGGTTGCTGCCCCGAGTGAGCTTTCACTCCAATGTACTTAATACAAGTACAGAAAAATCACAACACAATACAGAATATGAAAAATGAATGAAATAAAGAACTTAGGGGCTTGGAAATTGGAATGCTCATATGCAGCTTTAACTTAGGGGCTTGAAAAAGGTTTTAAGAAAGAGGTAGCATTTGAAGTTAGACTATAGAAGAGGTTCAACACTTTCTCAACAATTTCACTAAGCAAAAGAACAATATGAAAAAAAGAAAAGAAAAAGAAAGTATTAGGAAATTCAGGGCATATTAAAGCTATTGTAAGAGGCAGACCACTTTGGTTGAAGTGTGGGATACTTATAAGGCTCAATCAGAGATATGCCAGAAAAGGTAAGTTTTGATTAGCCTGTAGAAGTTCTAAAAAATAAGTTGGTATCTAGATATTTAGTTCTGAAAGCAGTGAGAAGCCACTGAAAGTTTCTGTGCTTTTGGAAGATCATTTTAACAATAGGTCAAAGAATGGATGACAACAGCAGGAAAATCTGTTCGAAAACTATTCGGAGACCTTCTCAAGCCAGAGGTACTAAGGACCTAAACTAGCAGAAAAATGAAATACGAGCGGATGCAAGGCACACTGGAGACAGAATCAATAGAACTTGGCAACTGACTTGATATGATGAGAACGGGAGAGAAAAGGGTCAAAATATGAACCCAAGTACTGCTGACTGAGAAACCAGTGTGCCAAATTACAGAGCAAGAGAAGTAGGTAGTTTGGGGAGCTAATGAGTTTCATCTTGGAATTTTTATGACTGAGGTGGCATCAAGGCATCCACAGGGAAACATACGCACCCCATGCAGCAGTAGGCCAAAGGATTTTATATTTTACCTGGTGATGCATTTGTTCATCCATTCATTCAGGCAATTTTGATTTGCTGCTTACACTGTGTTGGATGAGTGCACTGTGAAGATACGTGCAATACGGCAACATTAGATGTGCTCCCAAATTAAATCTTCATGGGAGAGGCTGACTCCTATTCAACTATCTATGAAACTGACTGTGATAAATGCTATAAGAGTGGTTTAAAACATACTCTAGAGTAGAAGAGCAAAGGACTGAGTGTGACTGGGAAAGGTTGAGGCAGACCTGAAAAATGCGTCATTTTGTTATGGACAACGGCCCGTTAACAGGATTTGATGGTAGAGTGGAAAAGTAAAAACATTCCACACAGAGAACAGCAGAAGTAACTAGATTACTTGGGGAAACCTATGTGACTGGGCTTTGTGGATCATGGCAGGGGTGGAGGCAAGAAAGGCTGAGCTATGTTCTATGAAGAAACCATAGAAATTGTGGTTCTATGAAGGATACCACAATAAGAGTTCAGATTCTATTCTGTAGGCAATGGGAAGCCATCAAACATTTCTGAGCATAAGTGTTCCATAATCAGTTCTATGTGCAGAGAGAGATTCTGCTGGCATGATGGAGCACCAACTGGGGGAAAACCCCTAGAGGAAGTCAGATTAGTTAACAGGCTATTGAACTAAATCATTAATAGACATTTGGAACAGGCCGCACAATGACAAAGACACGAAATACAGAAAAAAGAGCAAATTTGAATGGGGTATGTGAAAATACGCAGTAGATTTTGATGTTGTTGAACTTGAAGCTCTTACAAAGTACCCAAGTGCTCATTAAGTGGAAGTACAAAACTTTTCCAGTTTTGAAATTCTTTGGAGAGGTTACAGTTAGGTGACAGCTAAATCCATGAAACTGAATCATGTAGCCCAGGGACAGGATGTATAAAGCAATAAGAGATTTGAGATTTAGTAAACAGAACTACAGTCATTTCCACAGAATACAGACTGGAGGTAGAAGTCTAGAAAAAAATGGTCAGAGAGATGAAAGAATCAAGAGAAAAAGTTTAGTGAAAGCCAAAAAGAGTGTTTTAAATTGGTGGTTCATAGTACATAATAATACTACAAAGAGGTCAAGGAAAATAAGAGAAAAATCCAATGGAATTATTAATAAGATATGTAAAATCAATTACTACGTTAACAAGATCTATATGTTTTAGAAACAATAATCTAATAGGAATGAAAAACTGAGGTAATAAGGCATATTGTCTCTCTCTCAGTAAACTTAACTGTGTCCAAACCCACTCTTTCCCCCATCTTAGATGATAACACATCCCTTCTCAGGTTCAAGGCAAGTCCCTCCTACTGTGTTCTTCATCCTGCCCCATCCAGTCATCTTCAGGAGAGGAGAGTGAGTGTGTGTGCGTGTGTGTGTGCATGCGTACACATGCACAGACTTTATACAACACTGGATATTCAGTAGAAACTCAACACTGATTTGCTGAATCTATGTCAGGTTCATTAATAACTCTACCCTCTACTGCTCTAATGATACTGCTTTCTGGATGTCATGTGACTTCAGGAAGTTTCTCTAGTTCTTGCCCTCCTTAACTTCTCTGCAATATCTGACACTACTGGCACTGCCTCCCTCTTGGGATTCTTTTCCTCTCTAAATTTCCGCTGTCATTAAAATTTACTGGCTTCCTCCAGGTTCTTTTCTTCCAGTTGCCCCCTAAATATAGATTCTCTTGAAAGTTCTGACCTTGGCTCTGTTCTCTGTCCTCAGTCTCTCTCAGAAATATCATGGATTCCCACAGCTTCAGTTATCACCTCCGTGCCAACGATTTTCAAACATCTTTAGTCTTCTCAGTCCCACATTTACAAATACTACTTGTATTATCTGGCCCCACCCTCTCTCTCTCCAGTCCTATTTCTCACTCTGATCCTGTCTGGCTACTGCCCACACCTTACAAAGACACTAAGCTGCACAGTAAGTAACCACAGTTATACCAAATAATAGTTTTTAATTGTTCCTTTCAAATGCAAGTATAGGCACCAGTTAGCCAACTACTCTGATAGTTAGCCAGTTAATTAAAGAATATTATAACTTTCAAGAACCGCCAAGATTTTAGTGAAACTCCCCTCATTTACAGATAAAATACAGCCCAGAGAAGTGATGTGAATGATTTGAAATACGATATCAAATAAGTAGCAGAGCCAGATACATCAGGTCCCATTTTGACTAAATCACACTGCTTCTGATATGGAGTACAGAACCAAAAGGACAAATACCCTCAGGGTGTTTACTATCTAACTAGGGACATGAAACAAATACACACACACACACACACACGCACGCGCACACACACACACACACACACACCCCAATATTTCTATCACATAGCTCACTGTATGCAGATGAAGTTGAGCTGAGACCAATCAAGGAATGCTCCCTGGAGAAGATAAAGCTGAACTGGATTTAGAAGTGGGTTAAGAATAAAACAACCAGAAAGCAGTTTCTTTGGGTTTCTTTCCCATAATTTTTTTTTAAGTTTTTGGACAATAAACACAAGGAACATATTCAATATGAGAAGACTGGATTGTTCATTAAATCTCCCATTTAGAATTCAGTATGAAAAGGATGTGATAATAAGAACAAAAATAAAATATACATATATAATGAGGTAAAAAAAAAAGAATTCAGTATAAATCCAAGTGATATTGTAGAATCTTGAAAGTAAATGAAAACTCCAATGACAATCTACTATTATCTCAGAATGTTACTGTTCCTTGACTCCTCATCTACTTTACTGTTTAAGACTGCTTCATCTCCTTTTACTCCACTACTCAGCAGCCGTGTGGCTGTGGGCAGGATGCTCTACCTCACTAAGTCTCAGTTTCTTTATGTGTAAAATGGAAATGATAAACTCTACCTCATATAATTGATCATTTATTCAGCTCCTTGTGTTCCAAATAAGATCACTCATTCCCCCCAGCCCCCAGCCCTCATCAGCAGGAGTTACGAAAGGACATCAGAAATCCAAGTGCTCTGGAAGAGTAAGACTGTGTGCCTCCATCTCTCCATAGCCTCCCCAACATCACTGGCAAGTGAAGAGTAGATCCCAGAACTGTGAGTGATCTCTACAGGACCTCACCCTTCCCTCCCCCTCAATACTCAGTCTCCCTACATTCCATTATCCCATCTTAAAAACTGTAAGGACTAACTTCATTATACTCTTTATCTCTGTTTACAACAGTTCCCACAAGAAGTCAGAACCACCAGACTAATTCCCTCCTCTCATCTCATCTTCCATTCACTCCCCCCCAACTCCTATGCTTCTGAATTTCAAGGTCAATCATCAGCAAAATATCCTCTACTTTGCTCTCCCTTAAATAGTCTCTTTACCTTTTACTCTAACTAAAGCCTCGTTTTTCCCCCTGAGAACACTGCTCTCCCTACAGCCCTTTCAAATGGAAAAATAAGCCCTCTTATTTTCTCACCAATATCTCTCTCCCACAACTGGGCCTGGAAATTAGGCCTTGTTCTCCATTGCCACTTTCAGACTATTCTTCCTCTCCATGTCTAAAAACCCCAATCATCAATCTTATGTCATCAGGCTATACTACCTTCTACCCTTCCTTGCTGAGGTCAACGACCAGTCTCTAACTCACTCTCCCTCACTCCTTGAAGAATTAGCTTCAGGCTCACCCTCTTTCTAATATCAACACAATTGCCATAATTCTTATTGATTTCAATATCCATATAAATGAATATTCCAACACTCTGGCCTCTCAGTGCCTTACCTCCTCTCCACCAATGATCTTGTCCTCCACTCTACCTCAGAACTTAATGATTCTACTTCAAATGTCATAAAACACTGGCATTCCCAATTAACTGACCTCCATAATTTAAATTTCAAACATTCTACTAACTACCAGCTCATCTCTCTAGGACCCTAAGCCAACATCTTTTAATTGTTCAATTCCACCAAGGCCTCCACTATTCCTACTGTCTTTCACTGTCTCTATTTCATGACCTTATTTCTCTTTCCCCAACTTATTAAATTCTATAGCCTGTAATTACAATCATCTCTGGTCCTTGCCTGCTTCATGGTACTTACCTGGCAACACCCAAATGCTAGTTAAGCCAACCCTATGCCTACTCCAGATCTGTACCCATACAGTTGGATTAGTGTAGAGAAATACACACAACCATATGGCCTGGACTCACTTTGAATACATGATCACTCACCTCAACCAAGCCCTTAATACTGCCCAGCAAACACACTACATTTCCCTAATCCATATGTTCTCCCATTCTTCCAGACAACTATTTCATATGGTCTTTTCTTTCCTCATCATCTACCATCCTCTCCGTCTTGAATTTAGTAGGTGATCTAGATTTCCATTTCACTGAAAAATACAGAAGTAATCAAAATAGATCTTTCACAGGCTCCCTCAACTACAACTCTTTGCATCAGTGCATACGTACTCTGCCTTCCTTTCTCTTACTGTAGGGAAAGCATCCATACTTCCATCTAAAGCCAGCTCCTCCACTGAACTATCTCCCCTCATCTTCACAAGAAAATCTCTCCAGCAATTCTTCCCTCTGGTTCCTGTATCATAAAAATTTTCCTCTCTTCTCAATCATTCCAGTCAGCGTAGAAACATGCTATTATTTCTCTTAAATTACCCTCCAGATACCACTTCGCTTCTCTGAGCTTCCTTACAGCAAAACTCCTTGAAACAGATGTCTACTCACTGCTTCCAATTCCTCACTTCTCATTCTCTCTGAACCCACTTCCAATGCGCCAACAAAAATGCTTTTGTCAGGCCATCAAGAAC